CACATTTAAATTCCTTCTCTTTTTCCCCGCGGGAGGGAGAATGGAATCGTTCTGAAGGGATGGGACAGAGAAACCCTGAGTCCTGTCTCCAAACCCTTCCTGATGCCAAGCTGACGTCTCAGGTTGACCGCCTCTTTTTGTTTCCCTGAGGGGTTGCCGACCGGTGTATCGCTGCTGCAGGTGCGAAAGACTGTTTTGGTTTCACGAAACCGGGCTTAGACTGAGGGCCCGCGTTTCCCGGCTGTTGCAGTGGAGCCAGACGGGAAGGTTGATAGTCAGAATGCCCCCCTCTCCCTGAAGGTCTGAAGTTCGGTCGGCTCAGGTGATAAGGCTGGGCAGACCTTGAATGCCTCTTCCTCTTTTTTCCCCAGGTCACATTGCTGATGCATCGCTGTTACCGTCGCGCCGAACATGGCCTTTGGATCAATAGGGGCATCCAAAAACTCCACCTTCTCTTTGTCAGAGAGACCTGACAAACCCAGCCATAGCGATCTCTGCTAAGCCCATACTCTGACCGCAGATTTGAACTGCTCTGCGGGATGTGTGCAGGTTTAAATCTGCGATCACACATATCTCCTCCCAGAGCGCTGGGTTGGGAGATCCGGAGTACAGCTGATGCCCCATCTCCTTAAATAACTCCGCTTGATAGGCAGTAAGGAGGGACGTCGCGTTCAAAGCACGAACGGCCAGTGCAGATGATTTATAGATCTTTTGAAAAACAGAGGCGGCGAAGCACTCTGTTTTCCCTGGCAGCGAGGCTCCGGTTGCAGAGAGCGCTGCCCTGCGACTTGGGTGCAAATGATTAGCCACAGATGATTCAACAGGGGGAGGATCCGCCATCCCCAAATCCTCCATTCCCTGAACATCCAGCCTCGAGAAGCCATTGATGGGCACACGGTGGGAAAAAGGCTTGTCCCAAAACTTCTTCATTTCAGCCACACTATAAATAATAGTGGCAAAGAATAAACTGCCTCGCTGGAGGGAGACGTGACGGAAGCCTCTTTCCATCATACAAATCTCTTTCAGCCCCCTGATCTGCCGGTTGGGATGGCCAGTCGATCGACAGTTTAGCCGCGGCCCTGCAACAGACCTCGAGTAGATCCGTGTCCGTCTGTACAGGGGAGGGTGAACTCACATCCTGTGCACTCGGCGGACGTGACTGATTTGGGGGAAGAATAGCATTTTCATCATCCTCATCCTTGTCCTTAAGAATGGCCGACAACACTTCGTCCTCGTCATCTTCCTCTCCTGCTAACGGATCTTCAAACAGCGGGGGAAGGACGGGTGACACCCTCTCCATCATCTCTCCCCATGAGCTGACGGCCTGCGGACAATCCATCGGTTCCTCTCTGGGTTGAGCAGAGAGGCATGGGTCTGACTTTCCAGCTACTGCCACGCGGAGTCTCCGCTCTCGGTTTTTAGCCGAGAACTTCGTGCAGTGAGGACAGCCCTCGGGGTTAGACAGAGCTGCCTGAGCATGTTTAGCGCCCAAACAGGAGATGCAGAGGCCGTGTGAATCCTTTGCAGAAATCCACATTCCACAAGCACACGGATGTGGAGGAAGAGCTTTTCCTCCGGGGCTCTCCGGCTCTTTCGCAGTGGCCATGGGGCCTGCACTCTCTTCATACGGTAAGCCCACCACAACGTGACAACTAGTACGGAGCTGTGCTGCGATAGAGAGCTCTCCTTTTCCCTCTTCTTTTGGTGCGTGATGAGTGCCCCCAAAGACTTGGAAAATAAATTGAAAACTTAGAGCAGAAAACTCACCCTGACGCATTAGTTATCTCACTCTAAGTGAAGTCGCTCAACAAACGTTAGGAATTAGGTCTGCACGATAAATCGCATGCGATATTTAACGCGCATCTTATCAGTAAAGACGGTTCTGTAATCAGCAGTTAATGCTGCTCAATGTGAAAGCACGCACGTGATGGAGATTTACCGCTCATTACAGAACCGGCTTTCTGACAAGATGCACATTAAATATGCGCTCCGTCTGTAAACTGTTAAGCAAATAATTCCCGAAGTCCGCTAAGCCAGCTTCCGAAAATCTTCACGGGGAAGAGAGCGAGAATGACGGGGAGGCGGGACTCCCTGATCAGTGCAGCGATTGGTCTGCCATAGTTGGCAGACGTGGTGTTATTGGTGCTTCCGCGATCGGTCACACCTGAGGTGTTCCCATAGTGAGATACCGAACGAATGTTAGAAAGAGAACAGAGACAACATTACTACAGTAGGCTACATCAGCGGTTCCCAATTCCAGTCCTCACGCCCCCCCACCCACATTTAATATGTATCTCTTATCACGTGCAACGTTTGTTCTATTCGACAATAAGTGCCCTGCGAAGTGGACATCACCGGATATTCCGCCATCCAGTTCAAAGCGAGCATATATGTTCCATACAAAGGGCATTAAAGTGTGCGAGACGTAAATTTAAATAGTATTTATTTACAGAGGTATATTATGTCACACTTCACACTCTCTAGTAAGTTTCGTCTGTGTGTGAAGACGCTATGCAGCGCAAATCCGTGAATGAATGTTCCGAAGTGAAGTAAACTTCAACGGATTTCCCCTGCTCAGGGAGTAGGGAGCAATGAACACTGTGTAGCGATCATATCGATTGGAACACAGTCCATGCACGTAGCTCACTTTTAACGAGCTGGTTATCTGAATCGGGTGTGTTAACTAAGCGAGACAAGCAAAATATGCAGAGCGGGGGGCGCGAGGACTGGAATTGGGAACCGCTGGGCTACATCATGTGTCATTCACCGGTGACCTTTTTAAATTACAGTTAGTAAATGTACTACAGAGAAAACTTTAAAAGTACTACAATACCAGGAAGAAGATCGGGTTGTTGATCTTTGTCTGCCATTCTCGCTCTGTCTGCACAGCGTGCGTGAACATGCTGATCCTGTCTGCGCGAACCGGGTGCGCAGAGGTATGCTAATACATACGTTTACAGGCAGGTAGGTAGGAAAGCCAATTAAAACGCTCGGACCGAGTGTTTTGATTGGACGAACATTTCTTGGTCCTATGCCTTCCACAGAATATATAAATACAGATAAATACATTTAGACCACTTAACTTAATGATTGCTATCGGGATGTGAAGAGACTTTCAACCAGCATAACAAAAAATGTTTCTGAAGACAATCACCTATTGCACCTTTATATATTCATCTGTACTTCACATTGAACTATGGAACGGCCTCAGAACACCTGAAATATAGTGCAAGGAAACTTTATGGTGCTCTATAATGATTTTGTGCCTTTCGTGGGGCTTAACGATAATACAGAATAGTATACACACAATATCGGATTTGGATCGGTCTCGTCTGACCGATACCCCGATCCAGCAGAAAATGCCAGTATCTGAGCGATACCGATACTGAATATTGGATCGGCGCACCCCTACAAAAAACTGAATGAAATCTGTGCTACATGACTAGAAATGACTAGAAAACAAAGGAAAAAGGATCCGGCGTTCCGTTTTGTCAAAAATATCAACACTCATAATGCACTTTAGATCCTGACACTGCCCTCTGTTGATCCGACTGTCCATGAGCAGGAATACAAAATGTGAAAGTTCGATCTGTAGTTTTAACCAAAAGCCTGGAGCTCTCGAAAGCAGGATAGTGCAAAATGGCCCGCTTCACATCATCCAGTAGACTGACAAATAGACAGGGATATACGGGTGCAGCTAACATAAAGGACACAGAAAAACCGAAAAAATAGAAAATAGATAGAACGATATACACAAAATGTGTGATGACACAAAACCATTTCAGAAGGATGTTTTCCAGTTGATGAATGATAAGTTATTATTAAAGCTATCATTTTAGGTGTGAATGAGCCTTAAGAACTGATTATTTCACAGACATAACTAAGTGCATCAAACAAATCTCTTTCAGTGACTTGATGCCAATATCACAATACCAATGCAATGAGTGCTTTTGAGTAGTTCTTCATCAAAAATGCTTATTTTACCAAACTAATTTGTGTTCATCACATTACACCAGCTAAAAATAAACCATGGTTCATATGACCCATTTCTACACTGACATGAACTACTGCCACAGATTGTCGGCATTTAAAGGTCCCATATTGTACATCACAGCTACTTTAAGCAGGCTGTGTGAATTTTACTGTGGACTGACTGTTTTGAAACAGAGTTACATAGATTATATGGTAGTTACATAGCACCTAGACCTCAGTTACCATGAAAAAAGCCAGGAAATTTCAGTTTTGACAATATGGGACCTTTAAAGGGATAGTTCACCCAAAAATGATCATTTGCTGAAAATGTTCTCACCCTCAAGACATCCAAGATGTAGATGAGTTTGTTTCTTCATCAGAACAGATTTGGAGAAATTTAGCATTTTATCATTTGCTCACCAATGGATCCCCTGCAGTGAATGGGTGCCGTCAGAATGAGAGTCCAAACAGCTGATAAAAACATCACAATAATTCACAAGTAATCCACACCATTATAGTCCATCGGTTAATGTCTTGTGAAGCCAAAAGCTTCGTGTTTGTAAGAAACAAATCCGTCTCAAAAACGTTTTTAACTTTAAACCAGCAAAATACGAGTCCATAATTCATAATAACACTTCCTGAAGTGTAAAAATCCATCTCCTGTTATCCTCTCACATTAAAATCCACCCACAAATTTGTTTAGGACTGTTTTGGACTCTTTTCACTTGTAAATGGTGCTTGATCTGCATATTTCTCTCCTGATTCAGCTAAGACAACTTTTTCACTGGAGAAAGCAATATTATGGAGAGAGGACTCGTATTTTAGCTGGAAGCAACAGTTTAAAACAGTCTTGATGGATTTCTTCTCATCTATATCTTGGATGGCCTGAGGGTGAGGACATTTTCAGCAAATTTTCATTTTTAGGTGAACTATCCCTTTAACGTACAGTACATTACATCCACTTGAATATATTGAATGAGTTTTTATTAAGCCAGCCACAGAGTATATTAAAGTGGTCTAGCACTCACCTCTCTGTATGGTAACATGGCAGATGACACAAACCCTGGCTTCTTTGTCCAGATATTTCAGTCTGCATTTGCGGTTGCAGCAGTTAGCACAGTACACCTGCAAAGCAGACAACATTATTCACTCAAACACTGGATAAACACAGTACTTCATCAGACATAAACCTGGATAAAACTCTCTGGTGTCCTTTAGCCCATTTAATTTATTGGCCCAATATGTCTTGGAAACAGCAACTCAGTGCAGCAATTCAAGCGGGAAACTATATCAGCACTAAAAATACATTCTGCTGACCCGGCAAATCTGCCTCTATATTTAGCACCTCCAGAGCAGAATAAACCACACACTGACGTAATGAAAACACAAGACCTCGCACCCATAGATAAAATGAGGACTTTTGCTGTCTAAGGCAGTGGACTACAGGTTTAAGACTTTCCTGAAGTTATAAATAAATGAGAACACAATGGCAGGACTGACTCACAGACCTTTGCTCGAAATCAACGCAGCTGGCTACATGTTAATTCACTGATTCACACTGCGGTTATTTGCCTTTCACCTCCAAACGTCAGGGCACACTTATCTAATACACAAAGCTACAAAGTCACTTTCAGAACTGAAGCAAACATATTACTAAAACTCTAATTAAGTTCATTTATGCAAAATACACCATGACAGGGTGATCAGGATCCAAATGTAAAAGGGTTTATTTTGAAATAATGATCATCTGACTGTACATATCGTGCTTATTTTGAGGATACTTACCCGATAAATAATAAACGGACATTAAATATTGATCAGAGTTGAAACTATTTTGTTATGTGAGAAGAAAGAGTGCAGAGTAACATAGTAAACAAGAAAATCGCCTCCCTGGGACAATGGTCAATTATACAATTTAAATGCAAATAAAATAAAATAAAATAAAAGTTTGGGGTCGGTGAGATTTTTTTTAATGTATAATATATTTGTGTTATATTTTTTTATAATAATGTATAGGTAAAATCACTCATGGTTCAGTTTGTATCATGCTTCTGTGGCCACAGGTTTGGTTCAAAATATGCATGCACTAATTAGATTGATTTGAGACAGATATAAATAACCAATATTGTAACAATATTCAGTTTTTTTTGTTTTTGTTTTTTAAAGAGGCCCTTTTACCGGATGTTTACATACATCCACGTTTACATAAAACCACCCATATGGTGCAGTAAAATACATCATAGTACTACTGCAGTTAATTACTATTATTATAAATGTATTATATAAAAAAATATATATATATAATATTAATAAAATATATATGTAATAATATAATATTAAATATATAACTACTAAAGTTTAAAAGTTTGGGGTCGGAAAGATTTTTTAATGTTTTTGAAAGAAGACTCTTCTGCTCAACAATGCTGCATTTATTTGATCAAAAATACAGTAAAATTGTGAAATATTACTACGGTTTAAAATATCTGTTCAAATTTCAAATAGATATTTGAATATCTGTTAAACTGTAATTTATTGCAGTTATCAAAGCTGAATTTTCAGCATCATTACTCCAGTCTTCAGTGTCACATGATCTTCAGAAATCATTCTAATATGCTGATTTGCTGCTGAAGAAACATTTATTATTATCATTGTTGAAAACATGCATCTTATTTTTTATTTTTCAAGATTCTTTGATGAATAGAAAAAAAACAGCATTTATTTTAAACAGATCTTTTGTAACCTTATGGTCACTTTTGATAAATTTAATGCCATCACGCTCTTTAAGGTCACAAAACTCTGGACTTTTAGTAGTACCTAGTAGTGTTGTCAAAAGACCCGGTATTTCGGTACCAAGTCGGTACTAAAAAAATGAAAACGGTAGGTTTTCTTAAGTACCGGTTCTTGATGCGCGGTTTTCCCGCGGAATTGGGCTGCTTTAACACTGTTGCCGCGGGTTGTTTTTCATGTACGCGGGTTGAAAAACGACCCCACTAACGTGATATTTAGCCCGTGTTTTGCTTGCTTGAGTGTTTCTGCATTATATGAGTGGCTTTGGAATATAAATCGCAGCACGTTTCAGATGAAAAAACGCGACTTCTATTTCTGAAAATATCACAGTTAGGAGATTTATAACGAGTGGTTCCCTGCATTGTTACAGCAAAGCGCGTGATTACAGTACTAAGCCACTGCAATGGAGCAGCTCTAATGCTATTAAATTAAAGATGATGTACCATAGGGCAAAAAAAATGAACAGTGAAAGTAACAAAAACTTGTAAAATACATTTTAATGGGCATAATTAAGTGTGAAAATAACCGAAGAATATACAGTGAAACCAAAAATTATTGTTAATTAAAAATTAAAAGTTAACCAACTAACATTATACATACTCTTTTGGTTTCTGTACCCAATATTTAAAAAATGTACAAATGCAATAAAAATATTGGTATCGGTACTCGGTATCGGCAAGTACCAAAAATAAAAGTATCGGTATCGGGCGAGTACTGTAAAAAGTGGTATCGGTGCATCCCTAGATAAAAGTCACAAACATATTTTTTTGCTTGAAACGTTACGAACAGCAGCTACATTAATTCTTTTCCATTTGTCTTTCTGTTTCTACCCCGGGATGCCCATCTTGAGGTATCTAGAGATTACACCAGCTCCAGCCTCATAGAAAGACTTCAGATGACCCAACACCTGTGAAGAGATGATGCTGACCCCTGCGAGGACCCCAGATGACCCCAACTTGAATCGACATCCACAACTGCCAAAATTTCTCTATATTGTAATCATTATGATCACACTTGTAATAATCGCTTTAATGAGCTTCTGCCTAAAATTAATTCATGTTAGCTAGCTGTATGATTCTATTATCTTGAATTGTTCATTTGTGAAATGAACATTATTTGGACACATTCACTTCTGCTTTGTAATGTAGACAAATGCATTTTCCGTAAAGCTGCTTTGAAACAATGTGTATTGTGAAAAGCGCTACACAAATAAATTTGAATTGAATTAATGCATGCTTGCAGAATAAAAGTATTAATTTCTTACAAAATAAATCGTACTGACCCCAGACTATTTTTGCTTTAATATTTTCCAAATAATTGTGGGTACTGACACTGAGAGACAACAAACTTACCTTCCCACATGCTCTGCAATGGTGTCTCCTCTTGGTAAAGGTAAACTTTTGCTCACAATTCATGCAGTTAGGAGCCTCGGAGTCTGGCACCCAAGGAGGCTGCTTTGACCCCAGATCCTCGGCCTCGTGTGCTGGTGGATCAGGACTCTCTCCTGGGTATGGTGGAGGCTCTGAAAGCTCATCATGGCCATAACTGGCATCATATTGCTGATAAGAAGGGGGTTCACAGTTATTTTCATCTTGGTTGGGAGAAATTTGCGAGCCATGCTCTGCAGAAAGGCCTGCTACATTGGGTTCAGCATGGCCGGTCCGGTGTCTTTCAGATGGAGGCCGTGCGATTTGGTTGGATAACTGCTTTGGTCTCGCCCCGCCGTAATTTGACTCTTGGTTGGGGGCACAAACTGACTGAATCTCAACAGGGCTGGTTGCATTCTCATGGATAATAGTTTGTGTGGAGTCTGTCCTCAGCGGGCTGCTGTCCTGAGATGAAGAAGAAACGCTAGAACCTTCGCTCTCCTCCAGATATTGAAGTGAACCATCACTCTCAGGAGAAGCAAACGTCTCGACTTTACAGCTCTGCAGCTCCTCATCTAAAAAGCCTTCCACGTTTCCGTTAAATTCTGAAAAGCTGACATCTACGAATTTTTCTGCACCTGCGTCGGAGTTCATTTTCACATCCTGACCCATCAGAAAGGCGTCCAGCTCCTCGTCCGTAACCATCATAACGGTCTGGTCGCTTTCAGGAAGGTAATCGTTGGCGATACTGAACTCGTAGGAAAAATTTGGGCTTTCTGAATAGGGCGGAGATGGGTTGCTTTCACACAACTCTTTCTCTGTTGGCGACAAGTTGCGCTTAAAGTTTCTTTCAGGGTAATGGCCCGAGACAGCAGTCGCCCTTTCTGTGTTCGACATGATTTGGACTAGCTCAGGTTCATCTTCAGGTGAGGAATCAGGCCTATTGGAGGAGAACGGAGTTGTGGGTTCTTCTAACGGAAGAATTAACTCTTCAGCCTCTTGAATCGCTGAATTTTTTTCCAGATCAGCCTCATCTTTGGTTCCAGTCACTGCTGTCTGTGGGTCTAAAGACGCCACAAGGGATCCACACATAGATACGGCCATCGGCAAGCAAGAGAGAGAAGGTTCCTTCTCCAAGGAGGGACTTCCAGCTGAATCCTCTGGAGTTTTAACACTGAGATCTTCAGACAGTTGGGTATCTGTTGAGTCCGGCTGGAGCGATACAGCATGCTCTTCTTTGGTTGCTGAAATAGCTTCATCTGTAGCATGAGGATCTGAATTACTAACATCGTCCTCGTTCACTGAGACTTCGCATGGAGAATTGTTCTGATCATTGGAGTTTGAGTCTTCAGGACAAGAACTTTCAATCTGATTGCACTCCAAAGGTGTGATGCTACTTGAACCATGAGGGTCACCAACGGCCGGTAATATGACATCCAGCAGGCTGAATGAGTTATAGTTAACCTCAGAGTCAAGTTTTGGTAATTCACCGGCGTTAGAAGCATCTTCTGGACTAGATACTACAGGACTCTCGAAGTCCACTAGCAGCACCTCATTAGTTTGTTTCTCAGGAACATCCAGCTCTTTAAAGTCCTCCTGACTGTCAGCCTGCTGGAGGTTTGCAGAACCCGTATCGTTCACTAGGTCACACACAGGCTTCAGCGACCGGTCCGGACAAGGTGGAGCTGAACTTTTGATGCCTCTGCTATCGACAGAGGACAGAAGATCCACACCTGTGAGCGGCCGTTCATTTGAATAAGAATCTTTTTGGTTTAAAGTAATGCTTTGTGATGTAAGTCCATAGTGCAGGGCACTGACATCTGGGAGTGTTTGTGTAACTGTGTGTTGCTCTGGTATGAAGCTCTGAAGGTCCAAATGGTGACCAGGGATGATCGTGGAGTCCGGACAAGGAGCGCTTGCAAAAGTGGCAGGCTTGTTCTCAAGCTCCTCTGAAAATAAAGTGAAACATCATATTAATTTATAATATAGCTAACATGACAACATCAACCATAATAAAATATCCAAATAAATATAAAATCATAAAACTGACAAACTATAAAATCAGACAACATATATAGGATATATATTGTTGCGCATATTCAATATTATATATAACTTATGTCGCATATGTGATTTGAATTTTCCATTCAAAGAATCCTGAAAAAAATGTATCACCTTTTTCAACATTGATGATAATAATAAGAACAATTATTAATAATTGAGCACCAATAATAACTAATAATAATGTAGCAGCAAATTAGCATATTTCTGAATGATCATGTGACATTCAAGACTGGAGTAATGATGCTGAAAATTCAGCTTTGCCATCAAAAGTACAAATTTGAATTTTAAAATATATTCAGATAGAAAACAGTTATTTCAATTTGTAATAATATTTCAAACATTTTCAAAAACATTAAAAAAAAAAAAAAATTCTAACTTTTGACCCGTAGTATATAGCACACACACTAAATTTGTGACCCTGGAGCACAAAAGCAGTCTTAAGTCGCTGGGGTATATTTGTAGCAATAGACAGAAATACATTGTATGGGTCAAAATTATTGATTTTTCTTTTATGCCAAAAATCATTAGGATATCAAGTAAAGATCATGTTCCATGAAGATATTTGTAAATTTCTCACCATAAATATATTAAAGCTTCATTTTTGATTAGTAATATGCATTGCTAAGGAATTAATTTGGACAACTTTAAAGGCAATTTTCTCAATATTTGGATTTTTTTGCACCCTCAGATTCCAGATTTTCAAATAGTTGTATCTCAGCCAAATATTGTCCTATCCTAACAAACCATGCATCAATGGAAAGCTTATTTATTCAGCTTTGTTTTTTCAAAGCTATTTTTGTTTCAGCTATTTATTCAGATGATGTATAAACCTCAATTTCGAAAAAATTGACCCTTATGACTGGTTTTGTGGTTCAGGGTCACATTTAAGTTAAGTAACCAACATGATATCATAAATCTTATGACATAAACTATAGGATATATACATATTATATAGAACGTATGATCAACTAATTGAATGGCAAAATGTACATTAATTCACCCTAAATTGAGAAGTGCAAAATTAATATTTGTCACACTATTATATCAGTAAAGTAAAACGTCTCAAACCTGCATTGAGCTCAAAGTCATCCAAAAGCTTGTCCAGGTCGCACACAGCAGCCTTAAAATAACTGTCCATCCTAGGACGGGGTACGATACACCTCACTTACCCCTGCAGAGAAACTGGGGCAGTTGGGACAGAAAGATACAAATTAAAGTTTTTCCAAATATAAAATTTCTCCTTCTTAGGAATCTAACCAGGGAGTCTGACTTAGTAGTTACTGACAGTGATAGACAAAATAAGAAACAAATAGACAAGCTGTTCTCAATGCTTAAATACTAAAAAGTGGGGACAAATATGTACGGCTATTATTTAATATTCAATATTTGTATAATTGCAAGATTGAATATTTTCAACATCTGAATTCACAGTAACTTGTTCAGATGTTTAGTTTGCTGTGATTTACTGTGAAGTGAAAAGTGGAAGTGTGATTTCACCAGGTCTACAGTCCAAATCACAGATTTGACAAAAAACACATTGTAAACAACAATACATTATAAAGAAACTATAAATACAAAAACAATATAATGAATTAATACACCCAGAATATGGTACCTATCTGAGATTTCTCTGTCATGAGCTATGACATCAACCTTTGTTTCGAAAGGGCTGTTAATTATTCATCTAAATGAACACTTAGTGCTTATTAGTTTCAATATTAATAATAACACCATAATTTGGCTAAGATAAAGAGTCTATAATTAGCTATATTAATGTAATTTACCTGCTCACTGTCAAAAACTAATAAAGCACTCCATTCAAACCAAATAAAGCTTTCTTAACGTCAACCCTAAAATATCAAACATAAACAGTAACTTATTATTTTCATAAAGTTATATTAGCTGTTCAGTTATCATTAGCAATCTGCTAACTAGTTTCTAGCTGTTAGCGTCTAATCACACACAAACATAAATACAACCCCGGTAACTGTAATATTATATTTTATGATCATTCCGCTTCATTATCTACCTTAATATGTGTCATTGTTCAGTCGCCTTCGTTTCTTGGCTGTATTCAGATGAAATGTTAGTGTGCTTTACTGTTAGCAGCTAGCTAATGTCTTCTTTTTCCTCAGTCGACTGAGCGAGCGACCATTTCCACCCGGCGCTGTTTAAAGGGGACGGGCACTATTTTTGACTGAATTGCGTTGAAGTCAGGGTAGCGTCATATCCTGAGAACCAGAAAAAAAACTTTTGTGAATTTTGTTGTGTTTTTTTTATGTCATTACATTAATTGGAGCATAAGAAACAAATGATAAAAAAACGTTTTTGAAAAAAATATATTTTATTCTATGTCCTTTGTAGAGGATGTCAGGACTAAGTTATAAAAAAAAAAAATAAAAAAAAATAGACAATGAAAGGCATGTATAGGCAAAAACAATGTTTTATTTTTTTCATTCACCAATCAGTTTTTAGGTTTCAGGCTAAAAAGATGATTCTCAACTATGTTATGAAATATATAACAGAATGATTTGATATACTTTTGTACTTTATGGAAAATGTGTGTAAAATGTCCATAAATTGGTATTCCCATTCTATACAATGTATCCATACGTTGCATCTAATTTGTATATTAATGTGTTCTTGGGGCAAACCATAAGTGTAATAATGGGAGTAATAATTTGGCAACATTTTCATAAGAATATCTCATATTTCATGGGAATATTGATCTATAATTTCTTTCCCTATTGACTTGTTGTGTTTCCACAAAATGCCTGATTAACATGATGTTTGTCCTGGTGTCCTCTTCAGAAGACATGTATGCAAATTACACCCTGTTTCATAACAAAAAGTCATATTCCCCTTTGAAACCCCATCACATTTTTCTGAGATGTTTATTTGCGACAAACAATTTGAAAATCATGCAGATTTAAATGATAATTACAAACCATTATCATATTTCTTAAGAGTACTAAATTTGAACATTCTGTCAATATCGGTCATATTTAAAGAACAAGGAGAAAGTTTGTTTATGATCAAACCTCCAAACATTTGATATCTCTGAAAAGCCCCGAATGTACTCTGTATAGGACATCCAGACTTCAAACTGTGGCATGTTGGGTCTCAGAGAAATTCACTAAAATATAATGTCCTTTAAGTCACATGACATTTGAATGTCCGTCCACAACTCTTTTTCACAGTCACCATCACACGGAAGACACCTGTTGAAGTGCTCCAGAAATTGCTCTATTAACATAATTTCTAAACATCTCTTCTCAAGGGGGATTTTTGCAGCATCTTTCTTAAGTAATTTAGATATTTTTATTCACAATTTAACTTTGTCTAACATAGTTTTACTGTAAATTGCGAAAATATCAATGTTTCCATATTACCACGATGGAATTGCAGTAATGTATTTCCCCATTGGGATTTTTTATAGATAGTAGCATCAATAATATGATTGCAGTTATTTATTTATTTGAAATGTTTATTGTAGTATAGTTGTATTTATGTATAAATAACAAAATTATTTCTTCTTTTCAGAAAATGAAAACAGCAATATTTTACGGAAAAGCCAGTAGGAAGAGTGCAGAGATACTGTAGCTCTTCCATGTGATGAGAGCGAGAATGAGTTTGCCTTCAGTGAAGGTTAAATGATAGGGATCTACTTATTTTTTGGTTTGCATGAGTTCCTTCCGAGTATATAAATCTATCAATTTCTAAAAGAAATGTGCATTTAAATAGAAAAGAAAATCGTTTCCCTAAGTACCCCTTCCAAAAATCTTTTTTTTTTTTTAATCTGTTTTGATTTGTATCATATGATTGAAGCTATTTCATGCAATAAAAACTTATTTGAAAAAATATTTCATGGTTAGAACATAATGCATACCTAATGCATATCTTATTTATGTGAATGATACAGAAAACATTATAAGGGAATTCCAGCTAACAACGTTTTCTAATGTTCCCATTAAAGGGGTCATATGATGCTGCTAAAAAGAACATTTGAACTGTTCTGGAACAGTGTTGTAAATACAACTTAACCACTGATTTCTAGTCGTGTCCTCTTTTGGAAGACCAAACAAAGTAGTTTCGCTTTCACAACGAAACACACAGCGTCTTCACAACATGGCGGCGGCGGTGGCATCAACAATAAAGTTACACCTTCTTTCTTTGCATGAACATTTGGGCGACGTTATGCAAATCTTCCCACACTGTGACGTAGACATGTGGGGGTGTGTTTAAACGAGGTGTTTTAAGGAGGGCGTGACCAGGCTTAACTTTTATAAAGAATATCTCTTAACGAGGTGTTTTAAGGAGGGCGTGGACCAGTCTTAACTTTTATTAAGAATATCTCTTTGGGTTTGAGACTTTAGTCTTTGCAACTTTAGGGATCTTATCTATTTACGAACAGCTTGTAACACTCCAAAGAGAAAGGAAAACTTGAAATCGCATCATATGACCCCTTAAAGAAAACGTTATTTCTGGATGTTCTCTGAAATGTCTAGTTTTTTTTATGTTTTAAAAGCGTTATTTTTCTTGGTTATGCGAATGTTAAGCCAACATTTCATTTCATCATTCTGCAAACATTATGAGAGCATATACTTTTGAATGTTCTGAAACAAGTAGTAACATTAATATATGTTAAAAAATATTAGACAAACATCCAACTAAAACGTTTCTAAAAAAAAAAATGTTCCATGTATAAATGTTTTTGTGCTAACGTTTTGAGAAGATTATTAAAAACCTTAAAAACTTCATATGAACATTCTATTAATGTTACTGGAAGAACATTTGTTCATAATGTTCATACCGTTAGCCAAAGTTCTGTTCCCTGCTATAGCTGGGATAATATTTCAAAATTTAAAATGAAAAGTTATCCCTTAAGATTATTCTGTTACTGAAAGAGTTCCTATTCATAGTTAATTATTGCCATGAGAAGGTGAGGCGGACCATAAAAATACATCATAGTTTGCAAAATCAGTTATGCAGCTCAATACCAGTGTGTGTATTTAGCAGTATGACACAGAAGGGTGTTGTAATGTTTATTACTCATCATATTCATTTGAAGTACAAGTAACTAATACTTTTCAAACTAACCTTCTTCAACTTCAGCTCGAGAAATAGTTTTGTTTTCACCTGAACAATCCTACATCCTTGTTTTAAAGCATATTTCCACATATTCTTCCTCTGTATGCTTCTTTAGTTCCTCAACTTACTGAATAAAAACTGCTTTCCGTGTGTCAGCTGAAAGTCATTGTCTCTTTGAATTCCAAGTTTGATCAAAAGATGTTTGGAGATGAATCACACTGACTGCACATGCAGAGATAACTCTTGTGTACTCAGTAAACACAGCATTTTGTTTTTCCCAGCAAATGATGCAGAGTAAGCAAAATGTGACTGCACAATACTGATGATTTGCAAATATGTCAATCACAGAAATCTAGGTCAGTAAAGACAACACCATAGTAAAAAAAACAAAAAACATGGTATACTTTGTAGTAGCATGAGGAACACCATCCACAACATGACACTCCCCATATCCACCCTCTGGTTTGATCATAAATGACATCTTTATAGTGAAGAGGAACCACAAACTCTTCCTGAAGTGAGTCACATCAGTGAGTTATTCAAAATATATCTTATTTAATATCGTCCTTATTCCCAGTTTGCCCTATTATTACTTCTTTACTTTAAGAATTACTTCAGTATTATATTACTCTATTATGTACACCAATATATTATTCTTAAAATATATATATATACCTGTCCTGTCCATGATAAAGATCATGCAAATTATGTCACCAGTTTCAGTCCATGTCGTCATCGCGCTTACAGCCCGTGAGAAGAAGAAAGAAGTTTCTGACAACAGATTTAACAACATTTGAAAACAGTTTTATCTCCCTCTTCAGGTAAAGTCTTCAAGTCTCTGCTGACGTCACACGCTGGGATAGGCTGCGTCACGTGGTACAACTTTCCAAACCTGAGTGTTTCCCGAAAAAAAATGTGGAGAAACAAAACCCTGGCTAAGGTAAGACGAAATCATCCTTGAAGTATATTATATGATCTCTATGTACAATACCCGTATATAGTAAAACCAAACCGCATTTCTAAGGATGTGGTCGCTGTTGTTTTATTAGAAACGCATCTGTCTGTCTGTCAGTGCTGTTGTTGTCATGTCGTTCAGTTGCAGTTTACTAAACGTTCTTATGCTTTATATTTCAAACAAGTCTTAGATAAAGCAGAGATCTTAGTTTTGGGAGTAGATCTACGCACTATTTAGGATAAATTGCAATCATTTAAACTTCGCTGACCTGTTGATCCCGCAGTGTTTTTCTTTGGCGCGTGTTCACGAGGTGCAACATTGTTTCAGTTTAGCATGGAATGTATCGAATCATTGTAGAATTTTTGGCGCGGACATATTGTATTATTCACTACTGGCAGTGTTGGGGAAAGTTACTTTTAAAAGTAATGCATTACAATATTGCGTTCCTCCATACAAAAGTAACTAATCACGTTACTTTGTTACTTGTTATGGAAAGTAATGCGTTACGTTACTTTTGCGTTACTTTTTAAATCTGGACAGGGCTTGCTTGTTCGTTTTTAAAATAAAAAAGTTATATTTTTGGCAAATATAAAAGCCTTTTCACACCAAAAGTGAAATGAATAAGCCTCAGGCTGAAGGGAAAGTAAATTTGCGTAATATTTTTTTAACATAATTTAAGTGAGATATGTGCATATTCAGTGCATATTCATATTTATTTTAGAACTACCGTAACAACATCTGATTTCTCTCAGCATGGGGACAGGAGAGTTGTCAATCAATAAATTGGAAAAAAAAAGTAACTTGCGTTGCTTAATTGAAAAAGTAACTCAGATATTCTCTTGTAAATTAAAAAGTAATGCGTTACTTTACTAGTTACTTGAATAAAGTAATCTGATTACGTAACTCGCGTTACTTGTATTGCGTTACCCCCAACACTGACTACTGGTAATTAGTTGCATTGTTGAATTGCTGCCAGCAACCCACAAAACAACCATTAGCATGTACTATGGTATTTATATCTCATACATATGTTTACCATGGTCAAGAAACATGGCATTACTTTGGTACCTTTTAGTACTTTTAATGACGTAGATACAGGTATTTTTGGCTCTTCATGAATGTGTTGATTTCTTTTATTAATATAATCCCTTCTTGTTACTGTCTTTCAGGCCTTTGGATTCACATATATCATTTGAGGTTTTACACACTGAACTCAAGCCCAATGTAAGTCTTGCTCAGTGACTGCGTGTGAAAGGTATTCCATAAAAATGTCTTGTTCTTTCTCATTCGTAATACTTTTCTCTTGTTGTTTCATTAGGTAAACTATGCTTAAGGAAGAACGTAACATGGAGATTATTGTTTTCTTTATTTTATGCTGTTGACCTGTGATTGCCCAATCAGACGTCTAGTTCTTGAACAGGCATGCTCATTTCTGTCTCTGTGGTTGTCTTGATTCTATCTATGTCGTAAATGTTTGGGTTGCAGTCGTATCTTCAGTGGGTTTAGAGTTAATGCTCTTGCTAGTGGACGACGGGTTACTGTTACAGTCGCTGCTATGTTCAGGTTACAAAGTTGGACCGCCTGACCTGGGGAGCACCTGTGTCCGAGAACATATATTGTACATAGATCAATATAAACATTTATCACACATCTTTGGAATACTTTTTTAATCGTAGCATTACATGGTCAAATATTTTTTTTAATAAAGTGTATGATTGTCCCACAAAGTAGTTCTAGTTTCTGAATCTACATTATTACTTAAATATTGCTTACACATACTCTATATATAATTCTATTTAGCAAGTTCACTTATTCATCCTTTAAGACACTGTTGCTTCCAAGGTGTTTGTTTCTTGTACCTCTACCTGGTATCCCGAATGGTGATTATTTGTGTCGATAGCCTCTTATTTGCTTTGGAGAAGGGTTTTTTGCATAATGTCTTCATTCTTTTGCTTTTTCTTGCACTCCTTTCACTTGTATAGAGGCGTTTCCAGCTCCGTAAGTGGATGAAATCGTCAAGATTTATCTTAGTAAAAAACAACAATTTTGCATACTTTGCTACAGTTTCTGTCATATTTACGTGTTCTAGCACACAATATATCTGCTCTACAATAGCAGTTCTCAACTGGGTTTTTTTCAGGGCATAGATTTTACATCGCACGTTTACGTTCTACTGCTAGTGTTATCTGTATGCACCAAGGGTCTGAGAGTAACGCAATTTCAATTCTCTGTGTGTATGTGCTGTACATGTGGAAGAATTGACAATAAAGCAGACTTGACTTGACTTGACTTGACTTACTGATGACCCAAAACTGTACCATAATTGATATATAAGTACAATCTAAAAAATGCTGGGTTGTTTCAACCCAACTTTGGGTCAAATATGGACTAACCCAACTTTTGGGTTAAAAATTTTAACCCAAAAGTTGGGTTAGTCCATATTTGACCCAAAGTTGGGTTGAAACAACCCAGCATTTTTTAGAGTGCAAGTAAAAATGTATTTAATATCAAACAATGTTTGACTGGATGCACTGACTTACTTTGATGTAATCAACAAAGGTTTGGGGAATCAGAAAGCTTCTATTTAAAAGTTGATAAAACTACTTATTTGTTTTCTTAACTTTGCAAAACTGTTGAGGAGGTTTGACTCCAAAAAATAAAAAAAATAATAAAACAAATCTCAAACTTTAGAAGTAAAGTGCAGTGCTCACTCTACAAACTATGCTTAATTATAGTCAGTCGCATTGTTCAGAACAGACATATGACCAATGTTTGGGTCACAAACTACCAGTTGAGAACCACTACTCTAGAAGAACTAAAACCAGTTTTCTAGATCTTGTCCTAAGCCTTTTTACTTCATGTTCCTTTAGGGATAATGGCATATTCTGGAGGAGACGCTATTCGTCATTGTCTATAATAATGGTTTTCAACTGGTTTTGCTTCAGGACCAATGCACATCAACTGATGACCCAAAACTGCGCCATAATTTATATAGAAGTAAGCAAAAATGTGTTTAATATCAAACGGCGTTTGCACTTCCTTTGACGTCAACAACAAAAGTTATGGGAATCAGAAATTTTGGGTCACGAACCACCAGTTGAAAACCACTAATCTACAAGAACTAAAACCAGTTTTCTAGATCTTTTCTTTAAGCCTTTTTACTTCATGTTCCTCTAGGGATAATTTATATATTCTAGAGGAGACTCCATTCGGTGTGTCCAAAACATGCCCCACTACAACGATGTACACACAGGCTCGTTTCCGAGTCTTCATGGATTGACTGATCACAGGACATCTGACTCTTTATGCTCCGAACCTCTTCCACCACCTCCCCTACCGGACCAACCACCGATAGGCCCCGAGTTTGACCCCAGCGGAAGCGAGGACAACGAGGACTCTGCCCTCGACATCAAACCTGTCCACCGTTTCATCCCAGACAAATGGAAGAACTTCTTCAGGTCCAGCAGCGGAAGCAGCAAGTTGAAGTCAATGTTGGGCTCGAGCAGCAAGAACACGACCACTGACGGCGTTCGTTGTTCTCCGCCGCAATCACCATCAGTTCCCGGTTCCTACTGCGACCCGTACGGCGGATCCGGAGGCAGTTATAACTCATGTAAAGAGCGTGAAGCAATGCTGTTGGGGAACCCTGTGGAGTCCATTGATGGGCATACGGTGCACACAGCTTTGACATACAGCGAAAAAGTTGAGGAATACAACCAGCGCTACGCCTACATGAAGTCTTGGGCTGGACTTTTACGTATTCTTGGTTGTGTCGAGCTGCTTCTTGGAGCAGCAATTTTTGCATGCGTTTGTGCTTACATTCATAAAGACAATGAGTGGTATAACATTTTCGGATACTCGCAGCCTGGTGGGTTTTACGGAGGAGGTTACAGCGGCTCTTACGGAGGAGGTGCTTACGGCAATGCCAACTACACCGGACCCAAGACGCCGTTCATCCTAGTGGTGGCGGGATTGGCGTGGATAGTGACCGTAATCATACTTGTCTTGGGAATGACCATGTACTATCGAACTATCCTTCTAGACTCAAGTTGGTGGCCTTTAACAGAGTTCTTCATAAACCTGACTCTTGCAGTCCTGTTTTTGGCAGCGGGTTGCGTGTACGTGAATGACACCAGTCGAGGTGGACTCTGTTACTATTCGTACTTCAATAACGGCATCAATGGCGCTTTCTGTCGCACTGAGGCTGGGCAGACGGCCGCTATCATTTTCCTGTTCTTCACCATGATCGTGTACTTGGTCGGAGCCATTGTGTGTCTGAAACTGTGGCGTCACGAGGCGGCTCGGCGACTACGAGAACGTAATGGGCAGGAGGTGAGATTGTTTATTTTGATTTCTATTTCTGTTGCATACTATATTCTAAACCAGTGTTATTTTAGTATCAAGATGCTATTATAGTTTTTTGGTTAATATTTTGTTATTTTTGTATTTTAATTTTTCATTTACATTTACATTTTACTTAAACTTTTAGTACATTTGTTTTGTTTTTGTCATTTTTTTTCAATGTCTATATATATATTTATTTCAGTTTTAGTTATTTTGGTACATCAAGTTAAACTAAATTAAAATGTGAGATGTTGCTTTTGCAACTAGTTGAAATAAAATAATTATATTTTATTATTAAAATGATTATATTTTATTTCAGTTATTGCTTATTCTATTTCAAGTAACGAAAATCGTTACTATGTTCTAACCCTGCACTAAACAAAATAATTTCAGATTGGCTGTAATTTTGTGACATTGTGCAGCATTTTTGCTTTTGTGAACCGAAAAATCACTGTAAAACCATGATGTCGTATCTTGTTAGAACATGTATATTATTGCTGTTAATCATGATGTCATTGCCAGTATCGTCATTTGTTCTAATAACTCTAATATAGTTGCAAAAATTAATAAAAACAATAATTGATTCACCTCGACTTTTGTGTTATAGATGCAGCCAAAAGATTATCCTGCTGCTGTGCATTTGGCAAGTATTTTCTGTCTGTTCTCATGTTTACCCATGGTGCATTGCCATCTGCTATATGACGTGTTGCATGTAGCCTTTCACAGCATACTGGAAACCAATTTGGTGACTAATATAACAAAATATAATTCATATAATGCAATCATATTTAAATGCATGTTAATGCTGATGTTATTCAGTTATTTCTGAGGTAATATACTTGCCTTCCTCCATGTTTGACAGCGACAAACAAGCACTTGTATGAAACCTTACAGAACAGAATGCTGCAATATTGACTATTTCTATTTTTATAGGCTAACCTAGACGTTAGCATCACCCTGGTTTCTTTTGACAGAAACCCACTAGGATTTTTCAATTGGCTTTTGGATTATTGTGGAAAATAAGCTCTATGACTAACAAAAGTTTATGATTCTTCCATGTTTTGTTCATCATGAGAGCTTCACAAATAAGCACAACTTTTAAGAGTTTTGAAGCCTAAATACAATCGCCAGAAGTAAACGGCTAAACATAGGCTATAAATGAATTACACCACAATCACATGACTTTCAGTCTTCATTTAAAAACATTTTCTCTGAAAGTTTGAGTTTGAATAGCTTGCAAAAGTGTGATTATATCTGTAAAATCAGACTAGTGAGTAGATGAGTTTACCTGTTCAGCTTGTAGACATTTAATGTCCCGACAACCTCTGTAGTCCCATTTAGACACTCGTTAGCAACCCCCATTCTCAAGACTAGTAAAAGCTTTAAAAAATCACAAGGGTATTACTGATGTATTTTATGTTATAAAATAAAATGTGAAAATATTGTGTTAACCATAGACTTAAATTCAGACATTTAACCAAAAACCCATTCAAAAACCCATTGACTTCAGGACGATGGAACCAGAAGTGCTAAAATGCAACTCGTTTCCGGGTTTTGGCCCCCAAAAATACACCCATCCCTGCAGCACTCCATTAATAACCATAACTAAGGTGGGCGGGGCTTAGCAAAGGGTCAGTTTGTGATTGTCAGAGAATATTCCTGGCAATTTTGCATCATCCTCTTTGCTCTAATAGGTTGTTGATGGTTCAAGGGAGCCGATGCCAGTCTCAGCGCCGGTACAGCACACTGCCACCCCTGCCGTCGCCAAGCCCAAAGTTGTGAAAGGGCATATTCCAGCTGGACTCGCTCCAAAACCTGTGATCATGCCGGACTACATCGCGTGAGTATTTGCTTAAAAGAGAACTCACAAGAGGGTATTTTATGACCTTGAGATGCTTTTGCTCTGTGATTAAGCTCATTCTTGTGTTTTGTCTTTCCCTGCAGTAAATATCCAGCTATCCGAACGGATGAGCAGCGGGACCAGTATAAAGCCGTGTTTAATGACCAGTATTCTGAGTATAAAGAGCTGCATGTAGAAGTTCAAGCGATACTGAAGAAGTTTGATGAAATGGATGTGATGATGCAGAATTTACCACAAATCCCCACCAGCCATATGGTCAGTTGAAAATTGCTTTTATTACTTTACACGTGCATATGAATGCTCATATAAAAAACAAATATCAAGCACAAATCAACAAGAAGTATATGTGTGTGTTTTCATTTGGAATTATTTTATTTTTTGCAGCATGCTCCCTGTTGGATGTTAGAAAAACATTAAACAAATGTTTTGATGCTTCAGCTTTAGAAATTGTAAATTTGCTGTTTTTAAAGATACTGCAATGCCACAGGACTTAATGCGTTTTGTTTTTGCATTTTTAAGCAAAGGATTTTACCCTAAATGTTGTCATGTTATAAAAAAAAAATCTCCTATATCTAGTTGTCTCTTTTACACATTGCTTTTGTTCCTCTTTTATAAGTTGCTTTGGATAAAAGCGTCTGCTAAATGCATAAATGTAAATCATGAATTTCAGGAGAATAATTCTAGTCTACTGAAAAAATCTCTCATTTTTGATCATAGGAGCGTGATCGCATCAACAAAATCCTGCAGGAATATCAGAGGAAGAAGATGGTGAGTTATTGGCATCCATTCGACGAGTGGTTTAATAAAACGTATGACTGTAAAACTGTCTTTATTTAATAAAAAAAAAAAATCCTTCACAAATCAACAAGAAGTATATGTGTGTGTTTTCATTTGGAATTATTTTATTTTTTGCAGCATGCTCCCTGTTGGATGTTAGAAAAACATTAAACAAATGTTTTGATGCTTCAGCTTTAGAAATTGTAAATTTGCTGTTTTTAAAGATACTGCAATGCCACAGGACTTAATGCGTTTTGTTTTTGCATTTTTAAGCAAAGGATTTTACCCTAAATGTTGTCATGTTATAAAAAAAAAATCTCCTATATCTAGTTGTCTCTTTTACACATTGCTTTTGTTCCTCTTTTATAAGTTGCTTTGGATAAAAGCGTCTGCTAAATGCATAAATGTAAATCATGAATTTCAGGAGAATAATTCTAGTCTACTGAAAAAATCTCTCATTTTTGATCATAGGAGCGTGATCGCATCAACAAAATCCTGCAGGAATATCAGAGGAAGAAGATGGTGAGTTATTGGCATCCATTCGACGAGTGGTTTAATAAAACGTATGACTTTAAAACTGTCTTTATTTAATAAAAAAAAAAAATCCTTATGACAAAGGAATTTTTTTTTTTTTTTAAATATTAGTGAAAAACCGATTAGGCCATTCTGTCACTTGCAGAATCATGCATAATCTAGTTGTAAAAAATAATGTGATTTTGTGCATTATACTTTTGTTTTAGGGTTCAGTGTTGAAAACATTCCACATTAACATTAATGATGGGTCAGATGGGTTCTTACAGTTTAAACCATGCACAAATGTACACTTAACAAACATTAATGTTGGTAATTTTGTTATACATTCATCTACCAAAAGTGTAGTACTCTCAGCTTAGTTTAACAGATATTACTATATTTAAATCCTTCTTCCAAAAAATCAGCACAGAAAGTGTAAAAAAGTCTGCAGCTTCTGTGTGGGCCTGTACACTGGTAGGTTTTGGAAGGAGGATGAGGAAGGGGGCGGAGGCTGTTTTTCCCACAAGATTCGCCCCAATGTGTCTTTTCAAGAGAAGGAAATAACTGTAGTCACTCAAAACGTCAGTGGCTCCTCTTTAAAGACAGTTTGAGCCATATTTTGAGCGATAGAACAGGAAAATTAACATGTCATGCCACAGCCAAGACATGCAGTTTTGTTTCTGTGATTTTCTAGCAATTCATGTGAGCTGCATTAAAGGAATAGTTCACCCAAAAATGAAAATTTACTGAAAATGTCCTCACCCTCAGGCCATCCAAGATGTAGATGAGTTTGTTTCTTCATCAGATTTGTAGAAACTGAGCATTACATCACTTGCTCAGCAATGGATGCTCTGCAGTGAATGGGTGCCGTCAGAATGAGAGTCCAAACAGCTGATAAAAAACATCACAATAATCCACAAGTAATCCACACCACTCCAGTCCATCAGTTAACATCTTGTGAGGTTTGTTTGTAAGAAACAAATCCATCATTAAGACGTTTTATCTTCAAACCATTGTTTCCGGCTATCTCCTATATAGAGTCCTCTATCCATAATACTGCTTTCTCCAAAGAAAAAGTCATCTCATCTGAATCAAGAGAGAAATATGCATAGATCAAGCACCGTTTACAAGCTAAAACAGTTTCAAACAAATATGTAAGAGGTCAACAGGGGATGGACTTTTTTGGATGAATCATTATTATGGACTCATATTTTGGCCAGAAGCAATGGTTAGAAGTTAAAAACGTCTTAATGATGGATTTGTTTCTTACAAACACGCAACTTTTCTCTTCCCAAGACATTGATGGACTGGAGTGGTGTGGATTATTGTGATGTGTTTATCAGCTGTTTGGACTCTCATTCTGACGGCACCCATTCACTGCAGAGCATCCATTGCTGAGACAGTGATGCAATGCTACATTTCTTCAAATCTGTTCTCAGGAAGAAAAAATTAATCTACATCTTGGATGGCCTGAGAGTGAGTAAATAGTCATTTTTGGATAAACTATTCCTTTAAAAACTAGTTGTTCAGTTTGGTTGTAGAATGCAGAATAACCTATTTTAATCACTGTTTGTGGCCATTGAGAGAATATTTAGTTCTCACTCTTCATGGTCTTATTTATGTCTATGATGTGGTTTTGTCCCAAGGATCCTTCATTTCTGGAGAAGAAGGAAAGATGTGAGTACCTGAAGAACAAACTCGCGCACATCAAGCAGAGGATTCACGAGTACGACAAAGTCATGGGCTGGAACGATGGTTACGGCTGAAACGGGCAGCACTAGATTCAATCCTTCATTTTCATGCTGGGATATCGTATTACACTGAACATGTGACCACTGTATCTGCAGAGCCATGCTAGTCTGGATTTATGTTACAAACAGTAATCCAATGAGGGATCGATAACTTGCATGCTCTTAATGTACAGCTGATCCTTGAGCACTGACTGAAAATATTTTCTTTTTCATTTTGTATTTCACAATGCCGACTAAAAGTGCAGTAATGTTTAAAGAAATACTCCGTGTTCAGTTTGTGTATGAATACAGAACTGCTGTTTTTTATCCGTTCATTTGAATGATTTTATGCATTAATTCATTTTTCTGCTACTGTGTTGAAGTTCTATTTGATCTGAACAACAGCCTTGTCCTGATATGTTCAGTGTTGTAAATGCATTTTGATGAGTTGAATAGGTGATTTATATGCAAATACTGTAACGAGTGAAAAGTCGAAGCATTTCATGCAAATTTGTTGTAACTGAAATAATCTTTGCATTAAAAAGTCTGGTCACTTCAGACACAACAGAGCATATGCTTCCTTTCCCTCCATGGCTGATTGCAACATAGACATAAAAATCTTAAGAACTTCCTTATTCCCTAGAAACTTTCATTACCCCTCTTTTAAAGAAAGCATTAGTTCTCCATCTCTATCAATTCTCCATTTCCGCCACAAACCGCAGCAGCCGTTTACAACTGCAATTACATTGGAATAAAAAATACAAATAATGCAATTATAAAACTTGTGACATTTTACACTTTATTTCTCTGCTCAAACCTATGGCATGTTCTCACCATCTGGGGAACTATTTAAAGATTTTAAGATAAAGTTTGTAGAGTAGATTTTTTTGTAAGTACATTTTAAAATAAACTAATCTCTGTAACATAAACCTCACCACACCTCTGTGCGTGTGACTCATTCTTTTATCTCTAAGATATCTGTATCATGAAACCAGATGATCTCTTTATGGCTGTTTCAAAATCTAGTATGCTGTCTATCTAGACAGCATTTTTACGCACCATAGGCATCGAACCTTATTTTGAGGCATTTATAAAGGTAGATAATTGTCTACATAGGTATCAATTTGAAGCACATGAAGCTGTCTCGTTAGGGAGCTCGTTAGGATTTGAGCCACGCTCTCTCGCTCTCTCTCTCTCTCTCTCTCTCTCGCTCTCTCTCGCTCGCTCTCTCTCTCTCTCTCTTGCTCTCTCTCGCTCTCTCTCTCTCTCTCTCTCTCTCTCTCTCTCTGTGTATGTGTGGGCGTGTTTTGTGTGTGTGGGCGGGGTTTAATCATCTTAAGGGCAGGTTGTTTGTCTCACCTGAGCAGTGAACATCAGTGCGCGAGAACAACTCCGCAAACAGGTGAGACTGAAACTACTATATATATAGTCTATTATGTAATCCGTTCTGTAATCAAAATTATAGTATATATCAGTGTATATATCTGCGTTAATTATAAGATAATTGATGCCGACGGTCACAGAATTACTTCAGAAACAACTATTAAAATATTACATTTGTACACCGTGTTCGCTGAGTTTTACCCACTAATTGTCTTTTTGATTGCTTTCTGTTCAGTCGTAATGAGGTTGATAATATTGAAATTAGGTAAAGTGCGTATGATACTCATTTTTATACTCCGTGTATTTATTAATATTCATGTTTTTGTCTCTTTTCAGAATGTCTTCGAGGCCGAACGGGAGTCCTCCGCCCTATGATTATCATACAGAGGATGGATAGTAAGTGTTGAGTTTCACCTCGGTGTTTCTTTGGATTGTGTTACATGGGTTTAGATTTCTTTTAACCTCTTTTGCCTTTGTTTTTTTTTTATAGAGAGGAATTGAACTGCACAGCCAGAATGAACTGTTTCTGTACGAATTAAATAAATATAGGGCTATGAATGGCTGTTGGGTGGTGTGTGTTCCCATATTTATGTGACCAATATTGGTAGCGACCAATATTTGTTATTTTTTGGAGTGATTAGGCTGGTATTCGATTTTATTTTATATTTTATTTTCCTGTTACAAGTTTCAAAAGAACTGGGAATTCACTGATACTTATAGATAGCTGATTATTATATGTTATGGCTGAAAGCCTACATGTTATAATAGTTGATAGTATATCTATCATATATGTTTTGCCTGTTTTTATACAATATAACACTCACACCAGCACACTTAGACACTACAAATTAAATTATACAATAAAATATTGAATATAAAAAGATTGATAGTGCTTTTGAAACCTGGTGTAGGAAAAATGACATGGTTTGAAATGTAAAAAACACAACAACAAAAAAAGACAATACCGAACAATACTGATATCTTGCATTCAAGATATCACACTAAGTCAAAATATATTGCTGTTTTAAACAATTTCTCCAAAACCCGAATATGATACAGGTATATTCACTAATATCTTGCATCCCTCATTCAAAGATTTGAGCTTTAGTGTGACTTGTTTTTATGTTATCTAAGTCAGAATGTATTGTGTCCTTAAAAAAAACTTTGGACCATTTTCTCTCCAGTAATGTTGCCCCGCAGCCTGCGTATTCGTACTATCCTGACGAGGAGTTCCAGCATTTCTACCGCTGGACGTCTCCGCCGGGCATCATAAAGATCATGAGCGTCATGTCAATCATCTTCTGCGTGGGCATCTTTGTATGCGTGGCCTCGACGCTGGCCTGGGATACGGATGCAGGAGCAGCTGGATTCGGTGGTTATGGAGGTTCTTATGGAGGAGGCTCATATGGCAGCTACGGTGGAGGAGGCTCATACGGCAGCTACGGAATGGGTGGCTATGGAATGGGTGGATCCGGAGGTTACGGAGGCTACGGTTACGGGATCCTCGGCTCTCAGAACGACCCCAGGCAGGGCAAGGGTTTCATGATCGCCATGGCCATCATCACCTTCATCATTCTGCTCGTCATCTTCATCATGATCATCTCGCACCAGAAAGTGGCTCAGGGAAGGAAGTTCTACCTGGCCGTCATCATCATCAGCGCCATCATGGCTTTCCTCATGTTAGTTGCCACCATAGTCTATCTGGTGACTGTTTACCCAATGGCCCAGTCGTCCGGATCGGTTCAGTTCAATCAGGTTTACGCCATGTGTGCCGCTTACCAGCAGCCTCAGATGACGGGTGGGTTCGTGAACCAGTATCTGTATCACTACTGCGTGGTGGATCCTCAGGAGGTGAGCACAAATCGTGTAAATCTCAGGAGGTGAGCAGTAAATCGTGGTCAGTTTAAGTCATTGTGCTCTAACAGTGACCTCTTTGTTTCTCATCCAGGCAATCGCTCTTGTTTTGGGCTTCATTGTCACCGCGGCCCTCATCATCATCATGGTTTTTGCCATTAAAACCCGTCAAAAGATCAATCATCACGGGAAGGACAACATCCTGTGGCGCCATGTGAAAGAAATTGGTGATCAAAACTCGCCGCAGGATGTAGAGGATTGGGTGAGTTTGATATTATTGTTCTTTGCATTGTTAGTCGAAGTTTCATCTGTTCTCCAATGTTTCTCCTAAAATTCCTTGGGTGAGAAAATGTCTCAAGCTAGTCAATAGTTATCAGAGTAGGAGTAGACTGAAAAAATTGGTGTAGGATTTACAATTTTCCCTTAGAAACTGCTGGTCAATTTCACAAATATTTACAAGGAAATGGCATCACATTGAATTAAACATTTAAGTTTTGAAGTAGAAAGACAGAAATGATTTTCTTGTAAAACATACTCCGATAATCTTTGTTTTATTTACAACCTCAAAAAATATATATTTTTTAAAAGTATATACAGTTTTTAGAATTGTGAGTGACTTTTGATTGCAGACATTTGTATCTTGGCAAATCTGAGCACGATTTAAGACATTATTGAGCTCTCTTCAGAAACTCTAGAAATTTGAAATTGGGCTAGATTCTCAAGAGGAAAAGCTGGGGAAATATCGGGGATATTGTGATCTCCAGCCCTGGAAAAGTCATAGAAATTCTTATAAATAATTCATTCATTCAAATAAATAAATAAATCAGAAATCAGTAAACCAATTATAATAAATTATAATAAAAAATAAAAATCATTACAATTATTTTTAATCTTAATTAATGAAATGTATGAAATACATTTAATTGGTTAGAAATAACTTTTTTTCATGAGTAGAATCTCCATAACAACATGTCTCAATTTAAGTTATCAGAAACAAATGTACTATAAAAAAATATATTTTTTAAAGAGGTCATATGATGCGATTTCAAGTTTTCCTTTCTCCTCCACAAACCCAAGAGCCTCAGCAGCAAACTCAGCTGGAGCAGCAGGCTCAGACAGGACAGGTGTGTGTGTGTGTGTGTGTGTGTGTGTGTGGGTGTGAATGGGTGTGTGACAGAGAGAGAGAGAGTGTGTGTGTGAGAAATTCAGCAGTTACTGAGTGAAAAATTTTCCAACTAAATCCTACACCAAATGTTTAAAGTGAAAGATCAAAAGGTGCAAAGCCCCTGAGAAACTGAGTTCTCATTTGCTCCCCACTGAATGGTGTAGAAATGGCAATTACGATATTGAAGATCATTTGTGACTTTTAGTGATCACTCAACTATGAGCCTTTGTCCTAGAACTTGTAGTCGTCTACTGTGACTTGAAGAACTATAATTTTTTTTTTTTCCATACAGAAGGTCTATTCTACTCAAGGTGAAGTTAAGATCAGCTTAGATTCTACACCTGTGCTCATTTCTGTTGCCAAACAAAGAGTTATTTGACTTCCTCCAGTCTCCACGTAGCATTAACCTGTTTATCTCTTAGAGGAATAGTCGTGGTGGTTGGGGGAGGGAAGAGCTCGCCGTTGGTTTCTGGGTGTGGTTTGTTGTGACAGTTTCACTCACATATATGTGCTAGACATGTTAATGGTGCTTAACAGAGGCCTCATTTTCTTTGTGAAATCTGCTTTAATATTTTACTAAATCTTTTTCGTAGTTTGATTTTTGGGCCATTTTGGAAGATATTCAGTGGATCAATGTAAATAAATAGCTTTTTAGGGCATGTAGATGTATAATGTTGTAAATCTGATATTTTAAGATATGTTTTTATTAAAAGATGAATATTGGATCTGAATAGAACATCAAGATATTTGGGTTTCCAAGCAAACGTAGATATTTATGTGTTTGCATTTTGTTTAATGCTCAAGGACGAACTGGTTCAACCAGAAACTCAAATCTATGTGCAGCAAAAGGGATTGTGTTTTCGGTAATACGGCTCATGTTAAATCAGACTGCGATTCTATTAAAAAAAAAATAGCTAGAAAAGATGTGGAAAAGGTCTTATACAGATCTTCTATAGTATTTGTTGACTCCCTCAGGATAGACGCGTTGAAACATGTTTGCACCAAAGAATCCACCTCAAGCACTGAAAACTGAAACCACTGAAACCATTTGAGTGAATCTCACAAAAACTGTCCAGAAATGTTAACTTCATGTGACACGTCTTAATTCTTTAGCAATCCCTCTGATGATATTAATAATGTCTTGTTCTTATTACTGTAATAGGGGACAAAATAATGCAATTTGTAATGTGCAATTGTAAGTACACCTGTCATGGCAGTATTTGGTGTACTGAATTTAATTTATGCATAAATAATATGACTCGATTTTACTTCAATCATATCTTAAGGCTCTCTCTCTTTTTCTCAGGTGAATGATGTGAATGGAGTCCCTGAGCCGCTGCTGGCTGACTATCCCATGAAGGCTGGAGGGTCTAGAAATGATCTAGATGACAACAGCACAAATTATGACAAACCTCCTTACAGTGAAAGTCCTGTGTGAGTATGGCCCTCAACTCATCTGTGCGGTTCTGCATGTGACGTAGAGTTCGGCTTTGAACACAACGCACCTGATTCTGATCTGTTTTTAAAAATCAGATTTTGGGACTGATTGTTCATACTGATGTTTTGAAAGTGTTGAAATAAGATCTGTGTGTCACAATATACTCAGTGTATCTACATGCTGGAATACAATTATTATTATTATTATTATTATTATTAAAAAATAGCATAATGACAATAGAAGAGATATGATTATGATGTGTAAATTTCAATTTAAAAATAGAAAATTAAAAATATAAAGGAATACAATTTTAGTAAGCAGTTTAGTGTTAGTTAGTAATTTAGTAAAAAAAAATTGTTTACATTTTTCAAAAAAAATTGCATTCATTTATTGTACTGTATTGTGGTACAACATTATTATTATTATTATTTTTATTATTATTAAAATTAGCATAAAGACAGAATAGAAGAAATTATTATGTGTGAATTTGAATTTAAAAATATACAAATTGTTAAAAAACAATACAAGTAAAACATTTTTTAAAATTCATATTTTTTATGATAAATTTTTTTCAAATCTATCTACATATATTTGTTGCATTTTATTGTGCTACAACTTATTATTAAAATTAGCATAAAGACAGTAGAAGAAATTAATATGAATTTCAAAAAATAAAGGTCATTATAAAAAATAGAATACAATTTTTTTTTGTTTTTAAATCACAATTTTGAATTTTTGTTTTGTTTTGTTAAAATGTATCTACATATATTAGTTGCCATCACTGTAAAAAAAAAAAAAAAGATTGCTGTGATTAATTCCTACAACTTAAAATTCAACATTAGAATAAGTAATGTGTTTCAACTTAAAATAAATGTTGTGCTTGACTTAAAATTCTAAAAGTTTAGCTACTTTAGTTTAGTTCATTATGATGCTGTCCTTCATCACCGTTTGATAGTTGTTCAGCATGACACTTGAAACTTTGTCAAATGAAAAATTCTGCAAGTTGCTTGAAAGGAAATGAAAGTGGACAGAGTTACAGAACAGGTCGTGCAGAAACCGCGTCATCAGACGTTACTGAGATAAAGGGAGTTTACACATTCTTTCACTTCCTCGTTTCTGTGTTCCTCTCGGATCGGAATCATTTCTGAAAATGATGTGCGTTCTGGAGACTCACTGTGACCATTGTGCCAGTTTAAACAGCATGACGAATACCTCAGCTATGCATACTTCATCTCAGAAGTAGCCTAGCACACCGTAGAAAGAATGACGACACAGTGGAGGAATGAAAACAAGGTCTCGTGTAATCTGCCCTGTGTTGTGGTTATGAGCTAATTGCTTGTGTCTTTGTGCATTTGAAGTTTGCATGATTTATGGGTCAAATGTCTGCTCATGTTTGTGATGTTTAGGGAGATTGAGCACAATGTGCCCATCCGTAGTTCAGTCCCGCTGAGCAGCGGATCAGAGATGAACAGCTCTGCAGGACGGCCCAAGAAACGGCGCGCTGGACGCCCGCGAACTGCTGACGGACGGGATCACGACACGGACTACGCCTCCTCTGGAGATGAGCTGGACGACGATGACTTCTCCAGGTGAGTTCACTGCTCTGGGTTTATAAGGTGCACTGGCGTTCGAGATGAGATGCATGTGATTTTGTTTTTCCAGTGAATTCCCTCCCATTATTAATAATGAAGAGAGAGAACATTACAAACGCCTGTTTGACGAAGACCATCAGGCGTACAAGGAGCTCCAGGCAGAAATGGACCAGATCAACAAGCGTCTGGCTGAAGTGGACCGGGAGCTGGATGACCTGCAGGAGGGCAGTCCTCAGTTCCTGGTATGAAAAGATTCAGCGACGACTCTCAATAATTCTCATTACCGAGAATGAATAAGTACAGGAATATTGTCATTATTTATTATTCTTTTTATTAAATTAGCATAAAGGCCGTACAAGAAATTTGATTATGAAGTGTAAATAAAAAAAAAAAAAGTCAATTTAAATTCTAAAATAAAATTCAAGATAATAGTCCTCAGTTCCTGGTATGAAAGTCTTCAAGGTTCAATGATAATTATCATGAATTGTCATTACTGGGAATTAACAAGTATCGGAATATTATCATTATTTTTTATTAGTATTGTAATAAAAGAATTATAAAAATAAATTTAAACAACAACAACATACTTCTACTACTAATTATTATTATTATTATTATTATTATTAAAATTAGCATAAGGAGTACAAGAAATATCATTGACTAATAATTTAATAAATTACAAATTTAAATGCCTATTACTAAGAATTAGTAAGGACTGAAATACAATTTTTATATTATTATTATTATTATTATTACTACTACTGTTAAATAGTTAAAGTAGTAATTTCTATAACTTATTTAAATAATAATTATTAAATTAGTATTTATTATTATTGTTAATAATTGATATAACTTATTAAATGTATTATTATTATTATTATTATTATTAAATTAGCATAAACACAGTACAAGAAATATTATTATGATGTGTAAATAAAAAATGTATATTTAAAATTATATTCCTCAGTTCCTGGCATGAAAAGTCTTCTAGATTCAATTATAATTATCATTAATTCTCATTAAGTACTGGATTATTATTATTACTATTAAATTAATTTAATAATAATAACTTATTTAATATTACTTATGTAAATTATTATTATTAATATTATTTGTTTTACTCTCAGTATGCTAATTTGAATGATTATAATGATTATAAAAATATAAATGTCAATTCAAATAAATAATTTTTTCCCCTTTTTTTTCTTTTAATTTTGAGTTGAAATATGACTTGCGTTTTGGAAGATTCTCCCATTGTTGCATGACTCATTTGCCTTCCGATGGAAAGTTCCTGTTGGTTACGCTGTGTTTGTGAATAATTAACGTTAGCATGAGTCACTGCGCTTGTTGCTGACTTCAGTCATTCTCTCGTAACAGGACGCCATGGACGAGTACAACTCGCTGAAAGACAAAAAGAGGGTAAGAATGAGCTGAATCCAAGATTTCTCACAGAAACGAACAACAGTGAAGGATGTTATCTGATGCATTTCCCACTGTCTCTGCAGAGCGGCGATTACCTGCTGAAGAAGAAGCGCTGCAAGCACCTGAAGGCCAAACTAAGCCACATCAAAAGAATGGTCAGCGATTACGACCGGAGGTCCTGAAGATCATTCCCATCACATTAGAGAAGAGCGAGCTTCTGGACAGTATTGTGACGGCACAGATGTGTTGGTGTCTGTCCAGATGTGTGGGTCGTTGCCACTCGTGAGCTGGGCTGTGTTGCTTTCTGGACATTTGATTGATAACGCATGTAAATATTCAAGGCATTCGGATTCGTATTGCTCAGTGCAATATTTTCCCAGAATCCTTCATGAACCACTTTTAAAATCAGGTTTAACTAATGACTAAATCCTCATCAGTTCTGTAGTTTTTTTGCTGCAAATGTCCAATTAGCTGTTACAGATTTAACATGAACTTGTTGGTGTTTCAGTACAGCGTGTTTGTTTTATAATGGGTTTTTTTTCTTGGTGGGTAAAATACTGTGCCAAATAATTTTACCAGGTGGGTGGTTTGAACTCTTGATAACTAGTATGTCTGTATAAATCAAGCTGTGATCAGTTACAGGTTAGAGATAGCCTAAAAATTTAATAGTCTTTTAAGCTATATTTATGCCATTTTAAAAAACTTTTTACATGCTGGTATGTAAATATGTAATTTATATGTTCAACCATGTGATTTCTTTTAATTGTTTTTGACAACTAATAAAATCATTTTTAATGCCATAATAAAATTGACCACACATTTACTAGTACATTGAGTGTTTGTGGTTTCTGAATGGATGTCAATTAAAATCCACAAAAAAGCTATTAAACCAGTTTCTTTAATTTTAGACATCAAAACAATGTCTGTCTGTCACAAAGAAAGGTTCCTGTTTCTTTTAGTAATGCACCGAATTTCAGCAACTGAAAATGAAGATGTCGGCACCGTCGAGTTCGACTTGTGGATTTTTATCGATCTTCATAGCAATAAGATTTGTTACTTTTGATATGAAACCAAGTCTGAGCTTCAAATTTCTCAACTTTTTAAAGAAAATCGTGATAAATCGCTGTAGCGCCTCCGTTCAAGCGGTTCGTGAACCGATCCTCTTCCTCTTCACTAGTTACAACACGAAATAAACATGAATGAACATCAGAAACTATGCTGAAAGAAAAAGAACAACTTCCCAAAATGTATCATGTCTCATGTAATTGATCAATCAGCTTGTAAACAATAAGTCACGTAACATTACATTTACCTCAGCAAATTTAAAGGGGTAGTTCACCTAAAAATGTAAATTCTATCATTGTTTTCATTTATCGATTCCTATTCAGACGTAGTAAAAATGCACATATGTAGTAAATCAAAAAAATTTTATATATCTTTTTCTCTTTAATTTTCAAAACAACCCTCGATTAGAAAAAATAAATCTAGAGGAGTATTTTGCTAAATACTGTATGTGAACTATATTACATATTATTATTTTACTTAACCTGTTGTCTTTATTTAATGTATGTTAGAATAAACCTGTCATAAAAACCTTAAAATCTTTTTACAGCCACATTTATATTTCAACAGCCAATTGGAATAGAAATATAATTATATCATTAAAAGGCTTATATAAAATCTGCCTTGATTAATAAATAAAATGTATTTTTGATTTAGTTTTTTTCTTGGCTAAAGGAACGCTTCATTTTCGGTTTTAGGATTAGTTCACTTCCAGAATAAAAATGTCCTGATAATTCACTCACCCTCATGTCATCCAAGGTGTTCATGTCTTTCTTTCTTCAGTCGCAAAGAAATTAAGGATGATGTGCGTTCTGGAGACTCACTGTGACCATTGTGCCAGTTTAAACAGCATGACGAATACCTCAGCTATGCATACTTCATCTCAGAAGTAGCCTAGCACACCGTAGAAAGAATGACGACACAGTGGAGGAATGAAAACAAGGTCTCGTGTAATCTGCCCTGTGTTGTGGTTATGAGCTAATTGCTTGTGTCTTTGTGCATTTGAAGTTTGCATGATTTATGGGTCAAATGTCTGCTCATGTTTGTGATGTTTAGGGAGATTGAGCACAATGTGCCCATCCGTAGTTCAGTCCCGCTGAGCAGCGGATCAGAGATGAACAGCTCTGCAGGACGGCCCAAGAAACGGCGCGCTGGACGCCCGCGAACTGCTGACGGACGGGATCACGACACGGACTACGCCTCCTCTGGAGATGAGCTGGACGACGATGACTTCTCCAGGTGAGTTCACTGCTCTGGGTTTATAAGGTGCACTGGCGTTCGAGATGAGATGCATGTGATTTTGTTTTTCCAGTGAATTCCCTCCCATTATTAATAATGAAGAGAGAGAACATTACAAACGCCTGTTTGACGAAGACCATCAGGCGTACAAGGAGCTCCAGGCAGAAATGGACCAGATCAACAAGCGTCTGGCTGAAGTGGACCGGGAGCTGGATGACCTGCAGGAGGGCAGTCCTCAGTTCCTGGTATGAAAAGATTCAGCGACGACTCTCAATAATTCTCATTACCGAGAATGAATAAGTACAGGAATATTGTCATTATTTATTATTCTTTTTATTAAATTAGCATAAAGGCCGTACAAGAAATTTGATTATGAAGTGTAAATAAAAAAAAAAAAAGTCAATTTAAATTCTAAAATAAAATTCAAGATAATAGTCCTCAGTTCCTGGTATGAAAGTCTTCAAGGTTCAATGATAATTATCATGAATTGTCATTACTGGGAATTAACAAGTATCGGAATATTATCATTATTTTTTATTAGTATTGTAATAAAAGAATTATAAAAATAAATTTAAACAACAACAACATACTTCTACTACTAATTATTATTATTATTATTATTATTATTAAAATTAGCATAAGGAGTACAAGAAATATCATTGACTAATAATTTAATAAATTACAAATTTAAATGCCTATTACTAAGAATTAGTAAGGACTGAAATACAATTTTTATATTATTATTATTATTATTATTACTACTACTGTTAAATAGTTAAAGTAGTAATTTCTATAACTTATTTAAATAATAATTATTAAATTAGTATTTATTATTATTGTTAATAATTGATATAACTTATTAAATGTATTATTATTATTATTATTATTATTAAATTAGCATAAACACAGTACAAGAAATATTATTATGATGTGTAAATAAAAAATGTATATTTAAAATTATATTCCTCAGTTCCTGGCATGAAAAGTCTTCTAGATTCAATTATAATTATCATTAATTCTCATTAAGTACTGGATTATTATTATTACTATTAAATTAATTTAATAATAATAACTTATTTAATATTACTTATGTAAATTATTATTATTAATATTATTTGTTTTACTCTCAGTATGCTAATTTGAATGATTATAATGATTATAAAAATATAAATGTCAATTCAAATAAATAATTTTTTCCCCTTTTTTTTCTTTTAATTTTGAGTTGAAATATGACTTGCGTTTTGGAAGATTCTCCCATTGTTGCATGACTCATTTGCCTTCCGATGGAAAGTTCCTGTTGGTTACGCTGTGTTTGTGAATAATTAACGTTAGCATGAGTCACTGCGCTTGTTGCTGACTTCAGTCATTCTCTCGTAACAGGACGCCATGGATGAGTACAACTCGCTGAAAGACAAAAAGAGGGTAAGAATGAGCTGAATCCAAGATTTCTCACAGAAACGAACAACAGTGAAGGATGTTATCTGATGCATTTCCCACTGTCTCTGCAGAGCGGCGATTACCTGCTGAAGAAGAAGCGCTGCAAGCACCTGAAGGCCAAACTAAGCCACATCAAAAGAATGGTCAGCGATTACGACCGGAGGTCCTGAAGATCATTCCCATCACATTAGAGAAGAGCGAGCTTCTGGACAGTATTGTGACGGCACAGATGTGTTGGTGTCTGTCCAGATGTGTGGGTCGTTGCCACTCGTGAGCTGGGCTGTGTTGCTTTCTGGACATTTGATTGATAACGCATGTAAATATTCAAGGCATTCGGATTCGTATTGCTCAGTGCAATATTTTCCCAGAATCCTTCATGAACCACTTTTAAAATCAGGTTTAACTAATGACTAAATCCTCATCAGTTCTGTAGTTTTTTTGCTGCAAATGTCCAATTAGCTGTTACAGATTTAACATGAACTTGTTGGTGTTTCAGTACAGCGTGTTTGTTTTATAATGGGTTTTTTTTCTTGGTGGGTAAAATACTGTGCCAAATAATTTTACCAGGTGGGTGGTTTGAACTCTTGATAACTAGTATGTCTGTATAAATCAAGCTGTGATCAGTTACAGGTTAGAGATAGCCTAAAAATTTAATAGTCTTTTAAGCTATATTTATGCCATTTTAAAAAACTTTTTACATGCTGGTATGTAAATATGTAATTTATATGTTCAACCATGTGATTTCTTTTAATTGTTTTTGACAACTAATAAAATCATTTTTAATGCCATAATAAAATTGACCACACATTTACTAGTACATTGAGTGTTTGTGGTTTCTGAATGGATGTCAATTAAAATCCACAAAAAAGCTATTAAACCAGTTTCTTTAATTTTAGACATCAAAACAATGTCTGTCTGTCACAAAGAAAGGTTCCTGTTTCTTTTAGTAATGCACCGAATTTCAGCAACTGAAAATGAAGATGTCGGCACCGTCGAGTTCGACTTGTGGATTTTTATCGATCTTCATAGCAATAAGATTTGTTACTTTTGATATGAAACCAAGTCTGAGCTTCAAATTTCTCAACTTTTTAAAGAAAATCGTGATAAATCGCTGTAGCGCCTCCGTTCAAGCGGTTCGTGAACCGATCCTCTTCCTCTTCACTAGTTACAACACGAAATAAACATGAATGAACATCAGAAACTATGCTGAAAGAAAAAGAACAACTTCCCAAAATGTATCATGTCTCATGTAATTGATCAATCAGCTTGTAAACAATAAGTCACGTAACATTACATTTACCTCAGCAAATTTAAAGGGGTAGTTCACCTAAAAATGTAAATTCTATCATTGTTTTCATTTATCGATTCCTATTCAGACGTAGTAAAAATGCACATATGTAGTAAATCAAAAAAATTTTATATATCTTTTTCTCTTTAATTTTCAAAACAACCCTCGATTAGAAAAAATAAATCTAGAGGAGTATTTTGCTAAATACTGTATGTGAACTATATTACATATTATTATTTTACTTAACCTGTTGTCTTTATTTAATGTATGTTAGAATAAACCTGTCATAAAAACCTTAAAATCTTTTTACAGCCACATTTATATTTCAACAGCCAATTGGAATAGAAATATAATTATATCATTAAAAGGCTTATATAAAATCTGCCTTGATTAATAAATAAAATGTATTTTTGATTTAGTTTTTTTCTTGGCTAAAGGAACGCTTCATTTTCGGTTTTAGGATTAGTTCACTTCCAGAATAAAAATGTCCTGATAATTCACTCACCCTCATGTCATCCAAGGTGTTCATGTCTTTCTTTCTTCAGTCGCAAAGAAATTAAGGTTTTTGAGCAAAGCATTCCAGGATTTTTCTCCATATAATGGACTTCAGTGGAGACCAATGGGCTGAAGGTCAAAATTGCAGCTTCAAAGAGCTCTACACGATCCCAGCCGAGGAATAAGGCTCCTTTCTAGCGAAACGATCAGTCATTTTCTTTAAAAAATACAAACTTATATATATTTTAACCACAAATGCTCGTCTTGCACTAGCTCCACGACGCACTTCTATAAACTCAAGCATGACGTAATCACGTTGGAAAGGTCGCGCACGGTTAGATCTTCGTCTGTGTACTCCGGTTGAAACTGCAGTTTGGACCTTCAGCCCGTTGGTCCCCATTGAAGTCCATTATATGGAGAACAATCCTGGAATGTTTTCCTCAAAAACCTTCATTTCTTCGCGACTGAAGACAGAAAGACTAGAGTAAATTATCAGGAAATTTTAATTCTGGAAGTGAACTACTCCTTTAATTTGGGTGCATCACTGAGTTGATATTTTGCATTAATATTCAAAACTTTAGATGCTTTTTGTTGCAGCCATTTCAAATGTTCATGTTCAACATGATATCAGAGCTGGTTTCTTCCAGTGTTAAGGCCCTTGGAAAAAGCCGTACCCAAGGTGCAGTCTTGAGTTCCACACCCTGTTAAACACACTTTATAGAGTCTCTAGAGTTTGTCAGGACTCAATCATAGACTGTTTCTGTCCAGCCAGGCTTTCAGTAGTGGGACGTTCCTGTCCATCCAGAGGATGTTCTGCTGGATTTTCTGCAGGGCCTGTTGAACGCTGCGGAGCCCAGAGCCCTGATCCTGTGCTAGTGACCCGAAGAAAGACTGAACCTACAACACAAACAAGTGCTCTTAGAGTTCTACTGACACCAATCAGTGCAAATGCAAACGCTTTTGTTTACATATGCCATTAACCTTTCACCCATGATTTATGTCAGCTCATGTGACCTCAACATGTTCACAACATGAAAAATAACCACTGTAATATAGAATAAAACTGTGTGCACATAATATTTCTCAAAATATATAAATATTTCTCAATTCAATCATCAAATACTTGGTGGGGAATAAAAAATATTGTTAACATTAGTAAATGCATTAGCTAACATGATCTAAAAAATTAACAATATATATTTTTAAGCATTTATTAATCTTTGTTAATGTTAGTAAAAAATATAATTGTTCATTGTTTGTTCATGTTAGTATGGAAGCTTGTTTATGCCATGGAATAAAAAAAAATTAAGGCAATTGCTATAGTTTATATTTCACAATTCAGACTTTTCTTCTCAGAGTTGTGTTCAGATCTCATATCATATCTTAAATCAATTTTGAAGTATATCTTGCAATTCTGTGAAAAAAAAGTCAGTAGTGTGAGATATAAACTCGGGATTGCGAGAAAAGGGAGAATTGTATGAAAAATAGTTCGAATTGTGAGATATAAACTAAGAATTGTGAGGTAAAAACAAAAGTCAGAACTGTAAAATATAATCGCAGAATTGCAAGAAAAAAGTCAGAATTGCGAGTTTAAAAAAAAAAAAAGTGAATTGAGATAAAAAGTCACATTTACTCTTTTATTTTTTATCCTGTCAGAAACAAGCTTTCATATGTTAGTTACAGCGCAATACCCAATGCTAACTAATAACATTAACATTAAATGTCAACAAATAATATTAACATTGGCTAATCTTAATAAATGCTTTATGTTCATGTTGACTAATGTAGTTAACTAATGAAACCTTACTGTAAAGCATTACTCAGTGTTTTAAGGTAGAAATGGACAATAATTAATGTAATGGTTCAATATCTTAACTGTCTTTTATTTTGTATTTTTTGGACTATAGGTGCTCAATTTGCATTCATACATTTAGAAAGAATCAATCTAAAGTACCTCATCGAGCATTTCTCTGGTGGAATACTGATCGGTCACTCCGACCGCCATGCGAGATATGGCAGATGAACCGAGATCAAACCTAAAAGGAGCATTTGGATTTAATACACCATTAACATTCACAATCTAACATGGTATAATGTGTCATAAGCACCATGAAATAAGAAAGTGACTGTAGGTAGATATAAAGCAATTCATAATGTTTCGGACACAGATATTAGCTACACACTTTTTCACAAGTTTCCCTCAGTTGGTTTTCAGGAAGTCCCAGGCAAGTTTGAAACCTTTTGGGTTTTTACTGACGCTGATGACCAGCGATGGCACGTCTTGTGTTTTCATTATCTCTCTTTCAATGCTTCTTTCCAAAAGCCTAGACAGAACGAGAAAGCAAAACACATCCTAGAGCAGGTTTAAATGACTCAAGATCGTTGAGAATCGAAAAGGTGAGAAATGAATCATGCTTCTGCATTTTAATGACTTTTTCCCGATAAACATGCCAAACAGTTTGACCTTCCTTAATGATTCATGCGCCATCATCGATGTCAGGTTTGGGTGAACTATGAAAATGTCACGTGACGTCTCAGCTACTTCATGAATCCAGACTCACCACTGAAGCTTGTGAGCTAATGGACTGTACGAGAGGGCGGCTTTAATCATCCACTTCTCCGAAGGCGAGACGGACCGCTTGTATTTCTCCAAAAGGAAGTCCCAGCCTTCGTCTGTACGCGCCCCTTCAGTGTAGACCACCAAACTGACGTCAGTGGGCAGCCTTAAGCAAACGACACAAAGCATATGTTTGGATGAATGAAGATAGTCTGCTGCAGTATGTTCGATGTGGACGCCATGTAGATCAAACTAACGAACTCTCACTGCATTTTGCCATCGGATTCCTTCCACTGCTGGAAGAGTTGAGTGGCGGTGCTGATGCAGGGTGGGTAACGACGGACGCAGGCGAACAACAGCAGATAATTCCTGAGCATCCGCTCGGATACAGACCCGTCATCAGACCAGCTCTGACGGTCAATCAGCGTCTTGAATATCTTCACTAAATGATTCTGTTAGAACAGCAAATTAACAACAGCTTGTCTAAATATATTTTTAGTGCTGTCAAACGACTAATCGCGATTAATCGCATCCAAAATAAAAGTATTTGTTTACATAATATATGTGTGTGTACTGTGTATATTTATTATGTATATATAAATACACATACATGCATGTATATAATTCGAAAATATTTACATGTATTTACATGTATATATTTATATTCATATAATTTAAACATAACTTATTTTTCTTAAATATATACATGCATGTGTGCGTATTTATATACATAATAAATATACATAAATATACATAGTACACACACATATATTATGTAAACAAAGATTTTTATTTGGGATGTGATTAATCGCGATTAATCGCTTGACAGCACTATATATTTGATTTTTTCCCAAACTGCATTAAATGTTTCACCAAATTCTGTGTTTTCCATTTTAATTCTGTTTTAATAGTTTCATTAAATTTTAATAATAAAGGATTATTATTAAAGGATGTCTAATCAATTGACTTGATCAATTGACAAATTGAAAAATCAATTGAAAAATTTTACTTTTTTTTTTTCTGGATTCTATTTTATATATCTTTAATGAATTATGTTTTAATAATAAAAAAAGCATGTTTAATCAACTGAATTCATAAATATTCAACAATTAAAAAATGACTGAATAAAACTTTAACAATTTAACCAATCTCTTAAAAAGTAATTAAATGAAATTTTAACAATTCCTTTCATTTTTTTGGCAAATAAACTGCTGCACAAAACATGGATTGATAAACCATTTTAATAAACTGTATTATTATAATTATTATGATAAGAAGTACATTCTACTGTACAATATTAATATAGTTCTGTCATAATTTTTTTCAAACTTAACCAAACTTTTATTTGGCAGGTTGTAGTAAAGACCTTTGGGTTTCTGTGTGTATCTGACCATAGTTTTATCATCTTTTATTAATAAATATTTGTACACCCCTTCTTTTGATCCTTTTTTTTTTGCCAAGTTCTGTGAAATTCTACATTATGAAATAAATTCCATTTTTAAGACTGGATTCTGTGATTCAATCTGTGTGTTTTTTTGCACTGCAGAAATCTCAGGTCCCTATAAATACTATGAATATTCAGATGTTGCCGTCTTACCCTGGTCAGCTACTTTAGAAAAGGTCACCATAAGATTTTAAATGTAATATCTAAACTGAGACACTAGAAAGTACCTTAAAGGGGTCCTATTATGCTTTTTCACTTTTTCAACTTTAGTTAGTCTGTAATGTTGCTGTTTGAGCATAAAAAAGATCTGTGAAGTTACAAAGCTCAAAGTCCACTTCAAAAGGAG